ATTGCAATTGCTGCATGTGCAATCTTTCACTTGATGTTGTCCAAGAAAATTCTAACAAAGTTTTTTTTCCAAAACGAGACTGTTCTTCACTTCCAAAGATGAATTCCGATACTTGCTGCAGTATGCTGGGCGGTGAGTCTGGCAGTCGAAGGGACATGGGGGCCGGGTGTTCGCACTCCAACTTTGAAAAGTCTCCGGTGAAGGCTTGTTGGTTGATGGTCGAGAGCCGATGGCGTGTCGAAGACTTGGCTCTATTTGTTGACAATTGCTCGAGTCCAGGGTCATTTGCTGCGGTTGCATAGGTGCTTATGCAAACTGTCTTGTCCAGTCGTTGAAGGCGATGAGATTTGGCTGGTCGATGTTCTGGGCGGTGATGTACTATGTCCACTGAAGCTGCTGAAGGTGTTGCAATTTGCTGACGGCAAATTGTACGTTTATTGTAGAGGTCAAATCGTCTTTGAACCCAAGCGTCTGAAATGTTTCAAGTATGTTACTGATGAATGTAGAGAATTCCATTTATGAATCCCCTGCGTTGAATTGATGGTTGCTTGAAGCTCTGCAATCTGTTGACGAGTCATTGATGATAATTTCGGGTCGTCCATATCATCGTCGTAGTTTTTGGAGGGCAGCTTTGTACACAGTGCTGTTGCAGGAGTAAGCGGAAATAGCTTGATTTGCTTTTCCAGTCGTTAAAGTTAGCAGATGAGTCATCTTTTCGGCGTCCGAGATGGGTTGATTGAAGATAGTTGCTTCGAAGAAACCAAACCACATCCTCCATTTCATGGATTTTCCGTCGAAAGGCTCAAATTTTAGTTTTGGGGGTCTGGTCTTGAGACTGTAGTTCGTTCGCGATGTCTGAGATGCTTCTGCTGGAATGAACTGCTGTTCTGTAACTATGCCCTAACTATGTTGAAGCTGATGCTTGCGTTGGTGGTGTCGTGTTCTTTTTGTTGTAACGGCGGTCTGTTTATTTCGAAGCCTGGCTGCGGGACTTGCTGCTGAGTATTTTGGCTATCTGAAGTGTTTGGTCCTCTACTGTTTGCTGTGCTGATGATCCGGACTGATGGCTGCTGCTAGATAATGTTGACGTCTGGCTGGAATCCTGATCTAGTATTGTTTGTTGTTGCACTGAATCAGCTGTCTGAGGTGCTTGAACTGTCGTGGCATAAATTTTCTGTTGTGGCTGAAATTGTGGAATTGTCTTTGCTGTATTTTCTTGCAGCATTTGTCTAAATTCATCCATGATATTGTCGTGTTCATTTTGTATATCAGTGAAGCGGTTGATGAAATCCTCCGCTGTGGCGCGTTCAGTCGGGTGGTCTACATGGTACGTAGTGGCGTCTTCCAAATTGCTGAGAATTTTCTTCATCTCGGTTTCTGAAACAGCTATGTTGTAAATCGTTTTGATGTCATTGATGGCTTTTCGTACTCGTCTGAAGAGGCGCTCTAGTTGGGCGATTAGTAGATTTCTCTGGGGGAGAGAGGTTTTGTTGGGTATGGCTAGTTTGCCGTAGCTGATTGTTGTCATCGTTGCAGTTATTGTAGCTGTCGTGTCCAGTCGTAGTTTTGACCTACTTTGTTAGTTCCTGTCCTAGATAGCTAGACCTAAACTTGAAAGGAACGAAGCAAAAGAACAATGCAGCATATATTTTCAAATAAGTAAAACGAAATAAACAAAGCAATTGAAAGTTATAAAGTCTTGATATTAGTTCGTTCCGATACTTAAACAGGCGGAAAATATTATAAACCAAACGTAAAAATAACGTCCCGCTACCAAAATTATGCAATGGGGGTCCGAATTGTTAAACCAATTTTTTAATGTTTTTTTTAAACTCTTAAGCAAGTGCAAAACGAGTGGTCCTTGCTTGGCACTAGATACAAATTGTGCTTCCAGATCGGTCAAGGGGTAGAGCAAAGGTACGGTTTCTGGCAATTTAGCTGAGTGCCATATAGAAAACGAGCTTGTAACCACTTCTAGTTTACACGGTCTATTTGAGCTTTTTCTTGCTTTAAACGTTGATTTGATTATAAATTAGTTGGTTGCACGTGTTTGGTAATTCAGTTTTGCGTTTTCCCGATTTTGTATTTTCTGAATTCTGGTTTTCAATTTCTTTCCCGGAGTTTTCCTGATTGCATGTGAAAAATTAAAGTAATCTAAGATGGTTGTCAAGTGTCAGATTGGCATATAACACAAGGTATTATTTTACGGGAATCGAGTTTCTCAGGGATTCGATCACTTATTCAACCAAAGTGTCCCCCCGTTTGGTACTTTTTTACGACATCCACTTTTTTTTGTCTTTTTGGGCATTTTTCTTTCAAAATTTTGCACGTGGCGCAAAACAAAAGTTTCCGGAAAGTGTGAGCGGATTTCGTAAAAGTAAGCAATTTCGTGAGTTCCATTTACATTTTGCTGATTTGGCCAGCAATTAGTGATTCCACTTACAATAGCGGATTCCGCTACAGTGTAATTTGACTAAACATATGTATTAAAACTTTTTCGTGGATTCCACAACCTGGTTCAGCAAAATTGGTTGGAGATGCCACAATTTCGCGTGTTATTTGAGCGATTTTGAGACACACAGTGTTCAAAATTCAAATCGAAAACAATAAAAGAATATCAAAAAAACTAGCAGAGTTTCGGATTCTGCAATAAATCTGTTTTCGGTCTCTTGTAGAATCCCGTGAAAAATCATAAAAAGCGCAGTTTGGCCTCATAATATAAGGCAGATATCGGTTAACTAAAATTAATGCTTGAAAATTCAGTCTTCTTGATTGTCGAAATCAGTAACAAGCTTTTTTGTCACATTTAGAAGTTAAATTTTCCGGTCGCTGTGACTTGACAGTGCAATTTTGTTCAATTAATTTGTATTAAAATTGTCGAGACCCATAAAACTCAATTACACACAGTGACTTGGCACTCCTTTTCAATTTCCCATCCCTTCGTAAGATAACTAATTAAAATTGCTTTAAAATTGTCAAAGAGGCAATTTGCAAATTTTGATACAGCAGAAAAATATTGTAAAAACTTGTTCAGTTGTCGGTGCCGAAACTTTTATTACAGCTTAGATCATCAAAATTCATTTAAAATGGGCTTTTAAATATCAGTTTTCAGAAAATCAAAAGCGGGCTGGAAAAGAGTCAGTCAATTTGCCCATCTGTACTGATGCCAGTTTTGTCTCCGGTAAAACACTTCCTTTGTCGACAGTTTGTGCTGCTTCCTTTCTCTCAGTTTTTGTGCCTCCAAATGAGAGCTTGCGTTTTAACTCCGTTAGTGCCCAAACTTGTCATGATTTTTTTTTGTTGCTTGTCAGCTTGCTTGAGAGAAGTTGGGTAAATTTTTTTTGCTAGTCTTAGTGAGACTGAGTGTTAAAATTATTTAGTAGCGCTATTGGTGCATCTCTAAATTTTTCAATTCTTTGATTTCATTGAAGCAATAAACATAAAAAACATACACTGTACACATTTGGAAAAAAAACAAGAATGAAAGTTTCCCCACATTCCAGACTGAGCTATTGTTCCGACTTTTGTAACGAAAGTAACGGAATATTTGTGCTTGCGGTGTTTTTTTTTCTTCAGGCAAATTTCGACGTTTCAACTAGCCCTTTTTCACGGAATTTTTTTCCATATCATTCGAAAGTAATTATTTCACCTGTGATCATTTTTTGTAAAGTTGTAAAGTTATGAAGGTTTAAAGAGTGTTATTTTTGCCAATTTGAGACAATTAACGCGCCATGTATTTCGCGCTATTATCGCCTGAGCGGGGATTCAATTCGTCTTAGAAATAGCTCCAAATTGGTTGAAGGAAGCTTATTCGCCAAAATTGATTTGTTAGTTGGAGCGAAATCTATCACTTTGTAATTTAAATGGCGAGTGGGAGGATGGTTTTTATATAATATCTCAAATTTAAAAAAAAAATCAGTTATTTCTTTTTTTTAAATTTTTTTCAGGTTATTACTGCTCCATAGACCTTAACAGGCAGTCGGAACATTCAGGGCTCTGCACTGATAAGACCAGTCTTGATTTCTTTTTTACTTTTTCTGATGTGTATAGTTTTCGACACTTACTAAATCTGAAACAGGATATTAGCCCGGATTCCGTTTTCTGTCCTCCAGCCTACCAAATTTTTGATTTAACGCTATTTGCAATAGCTTAAGTTTCCAAAAAAAAAATCCTTTCCTCATCAATGACCAGTAGGTTTGATAACTTATAGTTCTTTTGCAAACAGCGACCAGCTCTAACCAGTGATATAATTGCCCTCTTTTGAGTTTTGCCCCTTTTCTACGTTAGAAATTATAGTCACGACAGACAGATTCCATCTTAACTCACGGCTGATCGTTTTCGCTTGATTGATGTTTAAATTTTACAGATTCTGTATAATTTTTACAGATTTTTTTCAATTATTAAAAAACGTTTTGATAGAGAAAACGTCGTGAAAATTTTCCGATGATAGCAACTCTTTGCTATTTTACTTCTCGAAATCTCGCTAGAGAGTGAAAAACTCAAACTAATTCTTTCGACACTGTTGAGCCTTAATTATTACAAATTTTTTGAACTTCAAGTCATGACTTAAGGGCTTTAATATGATAATTAGTCGACTCGTTCCAAGGAGTATCTGTTGGATCTGAGTTTAAATGGCGAAAAGATTAAAACGCCCAAAGGCAATTATTCTCCCTTTTTCAGTGATCAGACAAAACTGAAAAGAAACAGTCTGACCGACAGATAATTGACAGACAATTGAAAAAGTTGACAACCTAAAATTGCATCATAAATTTTCTTCAAAAATGAAGGAGTTGAAACTTTATTTGAGAGGAGATCTTATTCACTTTTTGATCTAAAAATTCATCAAAGTCGATATCGCTTTTCGCTCTTTATTAATTTTGATATTGAGAAATTTTGTGGTTTTTTACTTAGACGGCCCAGAATAATTGTAATATAACCTATTTAATAATTAAATGAATAATTCCACTTGTTACTTCGTTTTTCATACTTTCAATGTCTTTTAATTTGGGCAGTTTAAGTTAATACAATTGTTTTGTCCATTTATTTCGGCTGATAATAGTAAGGATTGTTCTGCGGGTCGTAGGAATTGAAATACGCATAGTAGTACGAGTAGCAGGCCGCCAGGAACTGCTCTGGGTCTGGGAAATCACTCATTGGGTCCGGATCGCCTACTTGTGGCCCTCGCGTCCAGAGATGACACCAGTCTTCATAGTTGAGTTCCTGGCCTTCTGAAAACTAATGTTTGGTAGCAATTTGATTAATTAATTAACTAGCTTTGGTTTCATAGCCCGTTTGGTACTATTTTCCCACATTCCAGACTTAATTATGTTGTAGAGCGCAGTTCTTTTTTAAGGCTGGATTAATTTGTTGAGCAAAACTTTTTATCGTTGAGTTATTCCGCTGAGTTATTCTGGCTTTTTATTGGCATTTTTTGCGAAGTTTCTGGCATTATGTGAAAAAAAAAATCCATGACTAAGCTAAAAACTAAAAAAAAAGAACGAAGATTTTAGTATAATTATGGTGATTTGAATCTAACTTCAATTCTATTAACGAGCAAGCGGCGTATTAACCCGGTTCACATTTATGTCTTTTGTGCAAAAAAAACATAGTACACTTACTGATCATTGATGGAAGTTTTTTCTTACTTCTCTCAATTGGAAAAATTGTCATTGTTTTGTGTTTGGTACTTTTGCGGTAAACACACTATTGTTCCGACTTTCGTAACGAAAGTAACAGAATATTTGTGCTCTGGGTGGTTTTTTTTCTTGAGACAAATTTCGATTTTTAAACTTTCCTTTTTTGACGAAACTTCTACATATCATTCAAAAGGTATTGATGTCCTGAGATTAAATATGAAAACATATTTTACCTGTAATCATTTCAATTTTTGTAAAGTTATGGGAGTTTAAAGATCGCAATTTTGGCCAATTTGGGACAATTAACGAGCGATATATTTCGCGCTATTAACGCGTAAGCGGAGATTTAATCCGTCGCAGCAATTGTTCCAAATTGGTTCAAGGAAGCTTAATTGCCATAGTTGATTAGTTAATAGGAGCAAAATATATTCTTTTGTACTTTATATGGCGTGTTGGGGGATGATTTTAATAAAAAATCTTAAATTTATTTTTTTTAAATATTTAATTTATTTCATTTAGTTTTTTTATGTTATTAATGCGCCAAATACCTTAAGAAGTATAGTCGGGACATTCATGGCTGTTTTCATGTCGTCATAAAAATGAAAAATAATCAGAATTGCTATTTGTTTTTGAAATTTTAGCTGGAGACACTGGTTGTGTTTTTTATTTGATAGTTTTGAAATTTATAAAAACGAGAAGTTACTACTGATCCAAAAATGGTTGATTTGGAAAGAAAGACACAACAAAAACTATTTGGGTTACTGTCTGTGAAAATTGTCGTGTATTTTATTTGTCCTGAATTATGTCGATTTTGTTCAGACCATTGAAAATGAGGAGGAACTTTGTATTCGGGTGTGTTTAGTTATTTGAAACTTTTTGTTATCCACGCAAAAACAGGTACCACAAAGAATCATTGGAATAAATTGAGTGAGGATCATATGAAGCCACTTCAGTCTTATTTAAAACATTTTAAAATTTTGAAAAATATTTCACAAAAAAAAATTGAAGCTTTTGATTTTTGGATTGATTTCGAGCTAATAAGGTCAGCATGCATGCCTACAATAACTTATTTATACTTAATTTAGGCCGAAGAAAATAAATTCATTCAAGCTATTTTTTTAAGTTTTCTTAGTTTTTTAGCGCCGTTTTTGGCCGTTTTGGTAATCCAGAATTTCAAAAACTGACAAATTTCTGCTAAACAATTTTGAAATTGTTTTACATCATTTTAAACTATGGTCCGAACATTCTGTGCTACTTACACAGTAACCCGCTATCCTCGTTAAGAGCTGATTTGGTCTCTTATCAGAAATCAAACATATTACATAGCGTTTTTACTGAAAAATTGAGGCATTATTTTAAAAATATTTTTTTTTCACGTCATTTTGACTCAATAAAATACTCATACTAACAAAAAATGAAATGCAACCAATTTTATGCATTTAATGTGACAAGAACCTAAAAACTGGTTTGTACCGATGTAAAATTGATATAGTATGATACAAAAGTGTGATATAAATACAAAAGTATGATATAAATTCAATTAATTTAATCCTTTTAATCCTTCTAAATTAATTTAAATCCTTTTTTGTCAAAATTTTGGTTTCAATTTCATACGGATTTGATAACAAAAATGTCGCTTTTAATCGACTCGATACGGATTAAATTCAAGTTTTCTCGGTTATAAATAATAGAGAAAGCTGGATTAAAATCAATTGGTATGCTTTTCATTTGACTTTCTTGCTGACGTTTGGCCTGAAAAGAAACTCTAGTAAGAGTATAATTAGAGTATACAAAAAAATGTAACTAGAGTATAAAGAAAGAGTACAACTAATCTGAAAATTTATTGCGCGAAAATTTAGTTTTTATATTGAGTTTTTCAATTATGTGTCTTTTGCACAAATTAGTTGCTCCTAGAACATTTGAGGAAAACTTGCATAGTTTGCCTTTTCATACAACAAGAGCCCTTAAATTTGCAAAACTCAAGAAAATTTCTCTTCATCACAATAGTTTGCGGTAAAAGAACTGTCCTCGACTGAATTTTGTAGCTCCGGTGGAGTTTTTTTTGAAAAAAAAATTTGCTCAAGTTTTGAAATAAAAGGAACAGTTACATAAAATAAATTTTAGTGAGATTTTGATGGACTTGGCTGCCCTTTCAAATTTGTTATCCACAAAAAAAAATGATTTTAATCGATTTCAATCTCAAGTTTGTCTGTGTGGGTATAGCCTTCATAGTTCAATCATCTGATTCCAAGTTATACAAAGCATAATTTTACTTAGTTGAGAGGAAGTACTGAAAATATGTGACTTCTGCTATCCTGAGAAAATTTTTTGATTGAAAATAATAAGATTTCGAACCATTCTTTGCTAGATAAAATTTGCAAGTGACATAAAATGCGTTGACTTTCACACTTTTCAGCGCTTAAGCTTGTGTCAAGTTACATCAAAATAAGCTCGGAGACTTTGTTACTTTTATATAAATGGCAATATTTATAATGTTTTACAACAACGGCTACTTTGAACTCTGATTGCTTTGACAAGTCAAAATTCAATGAGAACACTCTCCAACTGATAAAATTGAAATCTGTCATTGGTTTTTGCATTTTTTCCCGAGTTTACATAAAACAAATCAACAGAACAGAATATAGTACGATCAACCAAAACACTTTTATGCATACAAATTTTTTGCCAGAAAAAAATACAAGCAGGTTAAACGGATTTCTTATTTGCGTTCTTTTTATTGTATTGTTATGCAATGAATCTCAGCTTTTTGTTGCAGGTTGCAGGCTTTATGGTTTTCAAATTTAAATGAAATTATTTTAATGGAATTTTTTAAAGCATCAAATATTTCTTTTAGAAATTTTTGTGTTTTTGAAAAATCATTTTTATTGCTCAAAATGCACTTAAATCTTTTTGAAAATTTAAAACTGGATGCTCCCATTGACATTTTTTTGAAATTTTTTTGAAATGATAAAAAGAAAAGTAAAAACAATAAAGATAGCTGGTTGCTGTGCAAGTAGCAGAAAATGTTCCGACCATATTAATTAAAATATTTTGTTTCTATTTTCCTTAAACTAATGTCGTTTGTATTGGTGGTGTGGGAACTTTATGGTCGCGTAGAAAGTCAGTAAATTAAGCATAATTGACAAACTGTGTCACATAAAAATGAATAAAAACAAAAATGCAAAAAAAAAATTTAGCCTAAGTAATAAATTTCAAAGTTTATTCTAAGTTTTTGCTCAGTATTTCTTTTTTGCAAAATTGATTTTAAGCGCTAAGCGAATCATCCAAAACTAGTTTCTTCAGAGTTAAATTAGATTTTTTATCCAATAATTGATAATTGATTTCAAAATAAAAATATAACGAAGAAAAAAACAGTTAATTTCAATATAACGAGCGTTACTTGTCGCGTTACTCACTCGACTAAATCTCAAAAATTTTTAACCAGTTTTTAAACCATTGCGATATTTATTTGCGGTGCCAAACCGTGTATTTTGTGAACTGCAAGCGGATTCTGCAACAAGGGCGCGGTCATTATTCTTTTTATATTTTTTTATTCTCTTTGATCGTTCCGACACGTAAATTGAAAACAAAAAAAGAAACAAAACTAAAGCAGATCCGAATACAAAATTTCACCCCATTTTTAATGGTTGGACAGTTACCCTAAAACGCACCCCAGTTGGGAATCTCGTAGGTCAAAGTCTCGGTTACATTGACGGTGGCAGCGACATTGTCGTTGGCGTTGGTGACTCCATAATGGTTGGCGACGTCACTATCGCTGTAATTTTCATCCGAATCGGACGAATTGAAGTGAACATAAATTATAATACCAACTACAATCCCGGTTGCAACAATCACAACTATTCCACCCAGTAGGCATAGTTTCAGATAACATTGTGTTCTTTTCCCAGAAGTTCGCTGAGTTCCATTTACTTCTAAAACGAACCAAAACGACATATAAAACGTATTGCAACGTAGGTTTGATGATTTATGGTACCGAAGTTTTCGCACCAATTTTTTGCAGAAAAAAAATTGAGCATAACGGAAAAAAATATGGGATCACTTTTGGCAAAACGAGGTGAAAATTTGGGACAGACGACAGTTTGTAACAAGCGACAATTCGTATTAAGCTATATTTCCGAACATTGATTAATCGGCAAGCGCTGATTTGTTCGCTCTATTCCTCTCATTTCGATTGTAAGCACAGCGGCGCTACTTGCTACTTGCTAAACTGCTACTTGCACTGTTAGAATCGAAATGCCACCTGTTACGAATTGTCGCCCTCTACCTCCAGCAGGGTTTGAGAGGAGTGCGTGATTGGCTTTTTAATTAAATGGGAATTGCACCCTTCTCAGGTGTACTTGGAATGCAATTCTTGCAAGATTCTTGCAAGGAAATGTAAAACGTGTAATTTTTCTTGATGATTTTGCTGTGAAATAAATTTTATTGTTTTTGTTTGAAGTATTGTTTTTTTTGGAAAAGCTGAATCAACGAGAATCTCTATGAATCTACAGCTTTAGTTTTATTGCATCAGTCGTTTACGGGAATTCTTGTAAAATTTGGTCTTCCCTTAACAACGTAGAAAATTGACTGATGAATCATAAAGTCTGCATTTTTAAACATTTATGGCATGAATCTTTTATATGAGGATTAAGTTGCGTTTGAAATTTCTGATTATTTACGCTTTTAATTTTTCAAAATTTTAATTTTAATTAATTTGTTACAAAAAAAGGTCTACATATTATTAAGAACAGTAGCGGATTTAAGGGGGGGGGGCGGACGCCCCCTCCTCAGGGATTCGACCCCTTCCGACCCAAAGGGTCCCCCCTTTATACTATTTTCAGATATCCATTATTGGCTGACTGACCTTAAAATTTTTCTAAAGGCAACTTTGGCGCCAATCTATACTAATTTTGAGGGGAGAGCGCACGCCGAAGACACGCAATTTTTTGGTCGAAATTTTCCAAAAAGGGCATAAAAACTCCTTTTTGGCTTGTTTTTTCACAATTTTGGCTGTGGGCACAAAATTTGTCAAATTAGGGCCTTTGCAGTGATTTAGGAGAGCTCATAAAACCAATTTGGTTTAACAGTAGCCGATTTAAGGGGGGGCGGACGCCCCCTCCTCAGGGATTCGACTCCCTTCCGATCCCCTTCCGACCCAAAGGGTCCCCCTTTATACTATTTTGAGATATCCATTTTTGGCTGACTGGCCTTAAAAATTTTCTAAAGGCAACTTTGGCGCCAATCTATACTAATTTTGAGGGGAGAGCGCACGCCGAAAACACGCAATTTTTTGGTCGAAATTTTCCAAAAAGGGCATTAAAACTCCTTTTTGGCTTGTTTTTTCACAATTTTGGCTGTGGGCACATTATTTGTCAAATTAGGGCCTTTGCAGTGATTTAGGAGAGCTCAGAAAACCAATTTGGTTTAACAGCAGCCGATTTAAGGGGGGCGGACGCCCCCTCCTCAGGGATTCGACCCCCTTCCGACCCCCTTCCTACCCAAAGGGTCCCCCTTTATACTATTTTGAGATATCCATTTTTGGCTGACTGGCCTTAAAATTTTTCTAAAGACATCTTTGGCGCCAATCTATATTAATTTTGAGGGGAGAGCGCACACCGAAGACACGCAATTTTTTGGTCGAAATTTTCCAAAAAGTGCATAAAAACTCCTTTTTGGCTTGTTTTTTCACAATTTTGGCTGTGGGGCGCAAAATTTGTCAAATTAGGGCCTCTGCAGTGATTTAGGAGAGCTCAGAAAACCAATTTGGTTTAACAGTAGCGGATTTAAGGGGGGATGGACGCCCCCCTCCTCAGGGATTCGACCCCCTTCCGACCCCCTTCCGACCCAAAGGGTCCCCCCTTTATATTATTTTGAGATGTCCATTTTTGGCTGACTGGCCTTAAAATTTTTCTTAAGGCACCTTTGGCGCCACTCTATACTAATTTTGAGGGGAGAGCGCACGCCAAAGACACGCAATTTTTTGGTCGAAATTTTCCAAAAAGTGCATAAAAACTCCTTTTTTTGCTTGTTTTTTCACAATTTTGGCTGTAGGGCAGAAAGTTTGTCAAATTAGGGCCTCTGCAGTGATTTAGGAGAGCTCAGAAAACCAATTTGGTCGACCAATTTTCAATTTTGTCGACCTCGAGAAATTCCTAGATCCGCGCCTAATAGACAGTATGAAGTAGCACACTGCTAAGAACATTCTGAACCTTGATCCAAAATTTGATGAAGAGTGATGATTTTACTGATTTAAAATGACCAAAAGAAGGATTTTTAAATGCAAAATTGCCCTAAGCGCTGGGTTGCCTAAATTATTTCTCAAATTTCCTTGCATATTTTTGGTCATTAAATTTGATTTGTGTTCGCCAATGTCTTGATTTCTTAGTATAACGTTGTGCTGAGATTATAAAAATTTAGTCAAAAACTAATACACTCTCGATCTTAACATATTTTAAATTTGTCAAGATTACGAATTGGTATTTTTGTTATAGTTTTAAAAGCATTCTTTTCGAGCAAAATTTAACAAAAAATTCAAAACAAAAAGACCAAAAACAATTTAATGATGCGTATTTCTTGATCTGTTCATAAGACTCTACTAACTTACCCTTGTTTAAATTGTTGGACATATCCACAGGATATTCACAATTAATTCTTGTTTCAATTCAAAAACAAATATTTAGATGGAGATTAATTTTTTTTTCAGTGGCAACTCTATTATAAACACATCAACAGAATTATTTCTGTCAATAGTTTTTTTTTGACAAACGATATCAAGAAATTGCAGGCGGTAATTTGAATCCGCGAAATTAAAAGTATTCCGACATGACAAGCATTGTTTTTATTGATTAACTTGATTAAAACTTTTGGCAATTTTGCTTCGTTTTTAACTTCAATTTACTGTGAAGCAAGAAAAAAGGCAACATTGTTTTCCTGTGAAGGCGAAAAGTTTGATGTATACAGAACCGTTAAAAAAATGTTTATAAAATTTTCTTTATAATTGAAAATGAGGGATCAACCGGAGGCTAACTTGGTAAGTCAAACATGTTTATTTTCGTTTTGAAAATCGAAGCAAGCTGACTCTTCAGAAGTTTTTGCTAAAAATATGGAAACGAAACTGTTAATTTTAAAATCTATTCAGCCTTTTTACTGTTTTACTCTAATTTTTTACTCTGTTAGTTTTTATTAAAAGGTATTGATAAAAAGATTATTGAGCAGTTTCAGTCAGGTTATAACTTTTAAGAATAACACAAAATGTTTCTTGGTCTTATCCAGCTTATAGAGTTGGGCGACAAAAATTAAATAGACTAAGAAACTGGAATGTTAGACTGGGCTAAGTCGTAACTTGACAAATACGCCATTTGATCAAACTATAAGCTAAATAGATCTCATTTTTTTAAATAAATTTGGCCAATTATAACTTTTGATCAACCCGGCGAACTCACACACTGAACATCCATATTCTCATAAATCTGATTAACTTAGCGTGATATATGTATTTTAAAGCTTATATAATAACAAAAGCCAAGCCTTACATAACATAAAGTACATAAAATAATAGCAAGGTTTCTGCATGCACAAAAACACGTATACCCGTCATTATTAAAGAATATCAATACATGTCTGAATTAATTTTGAGTGTGTTTTCATCTCAGTTTGTTTCTTCAACAATTCTGGCAAAGTTTTTTTTACAATTTTTTTTCCTTTTTCTTTTTGCTTCTTTCTGTTTTCCTCTATCGCTTTTTGAACTGAATATTATTTTCCAGCTCGCGCTCCAGGATTTTTTATTGCTAGCGACGCTTCTCTAAATTTGATTTTGGGCAAGTGTTTCTCCAATGCTCGTAGTTTATTCTCCATAGGAGTTTCCGGGGGATTTCACCGGCCGGCTCCCCAGTTTTGCCCTGTCTTCTGTTCTCTTCGTGCTCACTTCTGCAGTGGAGTCAGAATATCATGATAGAGGTTGTTTTTCTAAGTCTTCTGGGTTGTTTTCACTACCAGATGTTGGCTGAATATTTTCTCTGCTCTTAGTTGGCTCCCCATTTAGTGGCTGGTTAGAATTTTGCTGAACAAATTCATTATTAATTTTGCTGAAAATCTAAGCAAGTTTTGTCGTCTTTTCTTAAAGTTAACACAATAAAGTTAACACAATTTGAGAAAAACCGGTTTTAAATTTTTTGTTTCATGCGCTTTGTCTTGATAATTTATATCAGCACTGCATATGGCCGTGGAAATTAATACATAACAGAAATTATCATAACAGAAAAAGATTTAGAGAGCAACATGCATTTTACCACAGATGCTAGTAAAATTTTTAGATTTTTTCAGAAAAGTTTTGTCAGTTTTTTTGTACTCAATAGAAACAAAGACGAATGACGGTTTGATCATTTTTTTCCAACTTTTTTTTAAAGTTGTAAGACCTGAGCCCAAACAATGACATAGAAGTATCTTCATTAAAAGGAAAGCCGACGAATTACAGGACCTGATTTAGACCTACAAATACTACAGAATCTGAATTAAGGTTGAAAAAAATTCACAAACCAGACTCAAAGAGGGTGGCACAGTTTACTTTGATGGATTTAAAAATTTTCAATCTTCATTTATTGCAAGAAAAGAATCGCTACTAGATGCAAAAATGTGCATTTTTTGCATAAGTTTTCTTAGTTTCACGGATCTTGAGTTCTGATAAGAAAAAACATGATCACATGGATGATGACAAAACATTCTTCTAAGGTCTTTCTGTAGCGGACCTTCTAAGAAAGAATTTGAATTAATTGTTATTTTTGTTATGAGTTATCAGGACAACTCAACTTAATAATGAGCATTAACTATTTTATTTAAAAGAGAAAAAAACAGACGAGACGCAATTCCAGACTAAGTATCGTTAGGTCCAAATGGCCGTGGTCGAATCTTGGCAAATACCGGCAAGAATGGGAAAAACAGTCGTAACAATCAAAAAACGGCTCGGCTCAAAGGTTTTTTTTTAAGTAGCGCTATCACTGTTGAAGTAAAAAACGCCGCCACAAGCTTTTTCTGACGAAAACCCAGCAAAAACTGATTGCGCGTCCTAAACTTTCTTAAGTCAGGCTGTGGCTATAATTCTTTTTATAAATGGACCTTCAGTTAGCAAATTTTTAATATCTACTTCAGTTTTTTCTGTTACTTGGATTAGTATACTCTTACCGTTTTCCTAAATTACGCATAATTGAGAATTAAATGATTTTCAAAATAGTCACAAATTTTTTTACTCCCCCTGTCTAATGATTAGATTTTTTTTTGGTAGCTTTTACTCAGTTTTCTCTGTTCTTGTTTGTACTACCGCGGACTTTAATTGTTAATCAATGATGCGTCTAGTTTTCCGTTTGGTGATAAGTAGTATGGATCCCTTGATAAAACCGCCTGCTGGTTTCAAATCTGTTTTCAGCGCTCGCACAGTGATTAATTGTTTCTTTTTGTAGTCAACGAACTGCGTTGGTAAAATAAGGTTTTCCGCCGGAATGAATTTTGTGTCTCTTGAACTATCTAGAATTGGCTTTACCGTGGCTCAATTCAAAAAGGCTATATAATTTGAAAAATGTTTCCTCCTTACTCGGCATACTTTTAGCTGTCTTTTGAGAAAATGATTCCACATCTCTTGCATGTCTTCCTTCCCACTCTATATATTTAACTTTCTGTTTTTTTTGTGACTGTTCCAATTGCAAACAGGCCATGAGTCGTTTTTGCTTAATCTCTGTCTTTATTACAGTGTAAAAGTGATTTTGTATGGTTTTTCAAAAGTTCACTTGTACAATAACTCAAATTGGGTGTCTCAAATTTTAGTGACTATTGCAAAATGATGTTTTTCATTCCTGATCTGAAAAAATTCTGAAATAATCAATGTAAGCTAGATTTTGAGGCAAAAAAAAACATAAATTTTTTTTTGAAAAAATGGTCGATATAAGTGTGATTTTGAGCTCAAAAACTTGCAATGAAATCGCATACATCATCATTGTAAATAAAAAAATTTTGAGCAAAAAAAAATATGCAAGGAACCAAGAAAACGGTTGAAGCCAATGGGATTTTGTGCTCATAAGTATTTTAAACAGTCATAGAAAAAAATCAATGAAAGCCAGATTTTGAGCAAAAAATTATTCAACAATGCGAGAAATTGTCAATATAGGTCAGATTTGGTGCTTAATTGGCAATGAGATCATACAAAATTATCGATGTAAGCGTAAGTGGCGACTTAAATCATTCCAAATTGGTCTTTTCATTGTTCTACTAGGCGCTATGGATGTAAAATCAAAAAAGATTGGCAGTGAATAAATGCAACACAAACTCATTAATGATAAAAAAATTTTAAAAAATTGATTTAAATCGCTTTTAATCAGCTAAAAACAAAACCAACTAAATACCGGAAAATTGGGTTTACATTAATTTAAAATCTATTTGGATTAATTTTTTTTCGCTGAGGTTTAAGGTCGATTTATATCGATTTTAAATCGATGCAAATCAATCTGAATTTTTTCTTTTTAATCTGCATACTTTTTGTTGCTAAAATTGATATAATCTTAATCAAAATACTTTTTTTCACGCAAAATTGATGTTAACCCATTTTTTTCAGTCCGGGAACGTTCTTTCACTGCAAAAAAAATTGCTCGGCATTACTCACTTTTCAGTTTTTTATTTTTCTAGGTTTTGCTTTTGTTTCTGTTTTCCTAAAAAGTTTGTCAATTCAAGTTGTGGTCGTTATGTTCAATTACGATTGATCCGAGAACTAACTTCAGGTTTGCAAAGTTTTTTTTAGTTTTTCTTTGAAGATAGGATAGGAGCTTGAATCGTTATTCGATATTAAGCTTTACTTCAGCTGAACTTTACTTTAATGAAAAATTAAATCAGACATTTTTGATGATGATATTCTCCTTACATCTTTTTTATTGGTTTTTATTTTTTTTTGTCTACAAGAAGGCAAGTATCATTTTTTTATTTCTAGAAAACTTAAAATTAAACGTATTCTAATAAATTCAATACGTTTTTCTCGCAAAAATCTTGGCAGTTTATTTTTCAATTCATGAATCAGATTTGAAATCACTTCACTCGTTTTATGTTTTGGGGCACAAAATTTGAGTCAGTTTATTGATTTACTTTGATCTTCGCAAGCTCATTTTTCAAATCCATTTGTTTCAGTTTAGGGGATAATCCGGTCATTACATTACGAGGCTAAACTGTGCATTTTGTGAACTGTAAGCGCATTCTTGTTGAAAGACTAGTATCTGGAATCCAGGAACATACAGACACAAAATTGTGCGCCTATCCAGTGCACAGTTTGGCCTCGTAATATAACCATTCCAATTGATCTCAATCACATTATCCCAGGCTTTCATAGTAGTAATACATATCCAAAAGCACAGGGTCAAAACCGCATGCCTCTAAGAACTTCCTTGCATCTGGAAATGTGAAGAGAGGGTTCGGATCGCCTTCTGCTGGCTCCTGGATCAGGAGGAAGCACCAGTCCTCATAATTGACATCATTGCTTCCTGTAACAATATTTTTAATATTCATAACTCCCCAAAGTTTTTAGGGGCGGAGGCATTATTTCCTAGTTTGTTTCAACCCACTGAGAAATCAAAATTGAAATCCAATTTCAACAAAAAAATTTAACAACTTGATACAAAATTGAAGATACAGTTCTTTGAAAATAGTTTCTTCATAGGCAAACTGAAAAGAAGTGAATGAGTAAATGTCCGGTGTACAGATGTCATTTCTGATAACGATCTTACTGAGATGATTCACTTTGTGAAAATATTTACCCGAAGAAGAGTTCGTGTCGTTCCGAACAGGAATATCATTACCTGCTGCCAAGTAGCTGTACCCTGTTTTCCAGTCATAGTCACTAATATCCGACTCGGGTGAGCTGAGTTTAATAAATAGTATCACCGCTACTAAAATCCCGACACCGACTATCACGACTGCCCCACCCCTTAGAAACAGTTTCCGATAAGTCTTCCCTGATAGTCCCGAAGTTGATACTGCTCCAATTGATGCTGAAATTCCGCTCAATTTAACATCAATAAATGCTTAAACAATCAGGCTAGAATGATCGGTTGTTGTTTTATGATCAGACCGTCGCAATCAAATTTTAGTATTTCTAGACTGTCGCAAGCAAAATTGGATGCTTTCAGACCGCCGCGACCAGAAAAGTTGCTATTTGCAATTAATTTACCTTTTTGAAAGAAATTTTAAAACAATCGAAATAATTTTTGCTCTAAATTAATTGATAGCTGTTTGTCAATTAATGTGTCTGTTTAGTTGATGTTTGTTATTTAATTTTTTAGAGAAAAAATTTTCGACCACACTGCGACTAATTTTTCGACCGGTTGTGAATCAAGGTGTTCAGAAACACTATCTTTTAAAAGAGTGTCTTGTTAAATGAAAGTTTTCTTCATAGTATCGTTCTCTACTCTAAAAACCCTTTTGCTAGACGAATAAATACATCCATTAATGCTGAAACCTTTTGGCGGATTGGCCCGACTGTCTTTGTTGCGCTTCCTCTGTGACTGACGTCCGTGTAAAGTCTACTATCAGTGTCGGCATGATTTTCTGCTGTTTTCTTCTCGAATCTTAAATCTCTACTATGAAGCTCAACTTTACTACTAGTTCAATAAAGGGTCTTGTGTTAAGTGATGAAAGACAGTTATGAAGTCCTTTAGCTAGATATGGTCTGAATAGGGTGGTAGCTCATTAAAACTGACCCCATAAACTTTTTCATACTGTCGTTTGCTTTGGGTTTGTACCCGTTTTGCCTTTGCCCGTACTTTCCCAAATTTCTTTGAGTTTCTTAATTTGCATAAAATTTTTCAAATAACGCATACAAAATACCATTCGCATGTAAAGATAAAAAGATCTCATTTTTGTCTAGATCAGAAAAGGCAGAGGGTAATGCTGCATTTCAAAAATTCCAACCTGGTCGAGTTGTTTGAAAATGTTGTGTACCAAACACATCAGTTAATCCATAGCCAGCAAACTTCCCGGAGTATTTCTTTTGATATTCACAATTATCTTGGTTGGAAAGTTTATAGGGGCCAATGAAACTTGTCTGAAAATTAGAAATCTTCACTGACATCCAGCGAACAAGGGTCCAATTTTTGTGTGCAATGACACAGCTGAACAGTAGAAAGCAGATTTTGAGATCTTATATGTAATAAGTCTCTAAGTCTCTGTAAGCGCGATCTTTGGCTTCCTGACCTCATCTTGTGCTCCCTTCCATATGTCCACCCGTCTATGTTCCAGAATTTGACAACAATTTTTAAATTTCTTGTAAGGTTTTTTCTATACTTTTTAAACCCACATTGCTTCCATCTCTTATTTCTGATTGGTCCGTACTATCTAGTAGCTGCTCCAGAATGACCAATTGCGTCTTATTTAAGCTGCTCTTTCCGGACTTCGTTGCGTTTAGTTCTTCTGATTTTTTTTCTGCTGTTTCTTCTCGTATTGTGCTGTTGTCTTTTCTTTCATTGTATCCAACTAAGTCTCCCGGGTTTGCATCTCTCATTCTTGTATGTTGTAGCAATGGCTGAAGCGCTACTCTCGTATTGTGATCTATGTTTCTCACAGTTTCTTTTTGAAAGCACTGACTGTTGTAATTATGTTAATGGCTTCTTTTTCGGGCTGAGGTTCAGGGTTTTTATTTTGAATTGGTAATTTTTCCTTGTTTTGTTTTGTATTGTCTCTATTTCTCCATAAATGTCTTCCTGTTTTGTTTTCTATGCAGTTGATACTTTTTTGTACTATCTCTGTTTTGCTTTCGTTTTTCTTCGCAATTTTGTTTTTAAGGTCATTTGATAATCAGATAATTTGTTCCGTTTTCTTTTTCACAATTTAGTCGGTGAAACTTTACAACGCTAGTATAATCAGATAAAGTTTTTTCCGTTTCTTTTTTTTCACAGTTTAGTCGGTGAATTTTTTTTTGTTCGGTGAAATCAGAATTTTTTTTCAAGTATCAAAATGATTCCTTTCATTAATAGTTTGACCCTGATTTTTTGTTTTGCTTTTGTTTAAAAGTATCGGTCCAGTTATTCTTATTGTGTCATATTGTTAATCACTAATTGTTTTAGATATAACGTGATTGTTTTTGACGTTATTCATTTGATCTCAACACATTTGAAAACTCTGCTACACCTATCTTTGAAAACTCATCCATCATGACAAAACTTTGCCCAATTTGGATTCCTTCCATTCTGTAAGGCTGATTGCAACGATTTGATTAAAATTGTGACTCCCCTGATGATGAATTTTTTAAATCTCAACTGTTTGTACTCATTCAATTGAATCAAATATTTTCACACCTTTACGGATTGGCAAATGCATAAGACATTAATAAAAGTGTAGGTTTACCACTGGTAACTAATGTATCTAACTAAATTTAAAAGAGAATAAAAGTATTGTTTGAATTAAAACTGACTGTAGTCTAAAAAGAGCAACTAGTGATCCGAAGTCCACTGGACTTCGTAGAGTGAACATTGACTGGTATATAATTAGGTAATAGATGTCAAGGTTATAACATACTAAAAATACTAAATCACAACATTCCCCACTGCACAAAAATTAATATCTGCCCGCTCGTCGATGTAGCCAATATCACACATATACTCCATCTCCCCTCGCTCCACCAGGGCCAAAGTTGAAACAAAAAGTCACCACGTTTAGCACCAATGGACATTTACAGAGAGTACAAATTACAATGGAGGTGATTATCTGGTAATATATACAGGCTACTTACAGGTTTACACAGAAATCAACTCTGAATGTACAAGATGATATGTACAACTGGGGTTATGTAGCATTTATACAATTAAAGCAAACTAACTAAATCACTAACTAAATAATAATGAAAAAAAATTGGGTTATCCAATGTATAAAAGCTAAAGCAAATACGAAAGATATCATGTTACCAGAGTTTATCAGTTTTCAGAGTTTAAGGCCGTAGCGTTATATCTATCATGGAAGTTATCGGCCTCTCTTCTTACATCAGCGTCAATTCCCGAGGATATGTCACTGCCGTTATCATCCTGGGTATTACTAGTAACTTCTACCAATGGTGGAGATACCCATGCGGCCTTTGTTGCTTGAGAGGAGGGTGTTGAAAAAGGTCCTTGTGTGGTTTCCGCAACCAGTGTCGTATGGCGTGGGATCTCATCATTAGGTGTCAGATAATCCGAAGGGGACGTCGTACAGTAAGTTAAATTAGATCGTGGACTCTTTGCGCAGGAGAACGTAATTAGCAGTTCGTCATCGGAGTCTACTGCACTGTTGGTCTCCGTTCCAAGCGTCACTTGGTCAATAAACCCCTATCACCGTAAAATTTAGGGGGGCCTGGGTTCCTTTTTGCACGATGTTTTAAGGATATCGGAGTTTTTGGTGTCTCCACTGTCTTCTCCGGAGAGCTCTCCACTCGAATTGGGTCGTCGCTTGTGCCAGTTGGTATAGTGATCGTTGTCTGTGTGTTTGTCTGGCTTTGTACGGTACTTCTTGGCTGATCTAAATCACTATGTAAGTTAACAGTCGGTGTATTACATACAGTTTCCGCTTCCGTACCCAAGTAGTCATCAATGACTTTATCCCAAAGGTCTAACTCTAACGAAGAATCTCAGCTATTAAAGTCGAATTTTGAACCTTTCGAGCTCGTGGTGATAGTTCTCCTCCTTTTGTTTGTATTTCCAACCGTTGGTGTTAACTCGTTGAAGGGCCTCCTACATTTGAATCTCGTCTCTTGGAAGGGGAGTTTCTTTTCTTTTTCGCTTGCCTGCTAAATCATTATTATTAATAAGCGAATTCGATCTTGCCGAAAATGTCCTAGGAGCTGCCGGTTGGATTTTGTTAAAAGCTAAGTCAGATTTTCTGATCACGTGTCCGTTGTCTAATGTGACAGTATGCTTCGTGTCTGACAGAGGTTTATTCCCAAGTGGTTTAAAATACGGTTCGCCTTCCCTCCTGTTAATTGTTCTCCTAAACCAGTTACCTCCTTGGCTGAAAGGGTTTGACAGTGGGGCTTGCTGGAGATTTCTATCTACTTTGTCCGCAGGGTCGCTCTCATACCCTCTTTCTTCCATTGCTCTTTTTTTTTCCAGGTAGCCATCTTCAAACGCGTCGTCAGCCCCCCAGTCATATGCTCTGTCCTTTGATAGAATTGACTTCCCCTTATCTAAACTAATTGCGTGAGAGACCAAAGATTTCCAGAACGTATTGGGAGATCTATTAAAATGTTTTGAGAAAGGAGAGCATCCAATGGATGATTGTTTCGTCGAACGGATATTCCAAATAATTTTATCAATTGCCGTATTTGAAGATGGTTTTGGATCGTTGAACGACATTGCCAGTAGCTTAGCTTTGACAGTGTAAATGAGTCTTTCTACTACTCCCTTGGATCTATGATCCCGGACCGTACATAGGATTAATTTAATGTTGTTCTTCTCACAGAAGTTTCTAAAATCAAACGAAGTAAAACATGACCCATAGTCGGCTCTAATGGACTTTGGAAATCCGTGAAGATGACAGTAATCTGTCATGAAGGTTAAAATTGAAGAAGCCGAGGTATTGTTCACTACCTTTGCAGACGGAAACTTTGAAAAGCGATCGATGCATAACAAAAGATATTTTGAGTTACCCCAACTCTTGTTCAATGGGCCCACAAAGTCTAAATCTACTTCTTCGTTTGGTTCGGTCAGAATCGGTAATTTCTCAGTATTGTTCGTCCCTAGTAACACTTTTAGGTTCTTACCGGCCATGATACAGTGAATGCAATTCTTTCCGTGAGGGTACATCTCTCTGTATAGGTACGGCCACCAGATGTTTTCCGCCAAGGCTTTTATCCCGAGATGTCCTGGGTGAGTTTCGTGAAGAAGTGACAGGAATGGTGATCTTAATACAGCCGGTACTATCAGTTTGTTATCGTTAAATAACAGTCCTTATTTCACGTGAATGTCCCTCTGGAAGTTCTTTAGGTAGGCTCCGAATTTGTCCAATGGTCTGCCTTCCTGTACCGCCT